GCTTCAACAGGCCCGAGGCTGTTGGTAGCAAGAACTCCCTCTCCAGCCCTCTTCAACAGGAACAACTGTGTGTTCAAACAGAGGCTCCAACACCCGAGTTTCTATTGTGGATCTCCTCAGGCATAACCCTGCATCACCCCCCTGTACTGCAAAAAGAGGCGAGAACAGCCGCCCCGCCAGTACAGACAGAGAAAACAGACCTCCTTTGTTCCCCCTGCCCCTTCTCAGCGTCGACTGAGGTTCATGATCCACCCCTCCTCCCTCCTGCAACCCCGAAAGCTTCAAAACAATCCCACTTTTCCTTTCCCCTCCCTCTACACTCTTCTAGTGGGTGGCAAGACAGCAGATCATCGTATGAGAATTCAGAAAATATCCTCTGAGCGCACCTCTCAGGGCTCATCTTCATTTGTTCATATCAAGTCTCTAGACTCAAGGCTGACTGATCAAGTGGTACATGGAGCTAGTTAACCTGTCAGGCGCTCTGCTGGGGGTAGAGAGGGAACATAAAACCCACAACATTACCTCCCATTATCCCAGCCTCCCACTTCAAAAGGGGGATGCTCCCTGGCAGTTGGTATAGACAGTAAAGAGCACCTTTAAATGCATTGTTCTCACATACGGCTGTAATAACCTGACATGGGCCATAATAGCGTTCCCTAGGTAACCTTGAGTGATTGGGCTTGATGACTGTCATGGTTTAAAGCTCTGGTGTAATGATTCGGTCACAATGGGCCGTTCAGGGACATCCACACTGACCGCTACTCATCCACCATCTGTCCAACCTACCTGCTGCCAAAAATATACAACCTACAGTAACAGTACAGCAGCCTAATTCATGGGAGATAGTATCTGTGACAAACAAAGCTTGAGGTTAGGGCTGCAACTAACAACAGTTTTCATTATTGATTAATCTGCTGATTGTTTACTTGATTATTCTTTTAGTTTATACAAAACAGGAAAAAGCAGCAAATCCCATTGATTCATTTTGTGTTGATCAATTACTGGTTTATGTGCCAATTATTTAAGCAGTAACTTGTTGACTCTGTGTTGTTCAAGGAGCTATATTCAACAGAGAGAAAACTGCAAACTAACTGCACATCTTTGTATCTAATTACTCAGGCAACCGGTCCAGCTAGCTATGAGTCTAACTATGAGCAACACATAAATCACCTCATATCCATTTTTCTTTGTCATCTGTCACCATCCACTCCCAATCATATAATACAGGTCTAGCATGTAAACACCAACAGTTGCAGCTGTGTGGAGTGGATTCCCAGGAACGTGTCAATCCCCATTAGAGCTGCTGCCTAACTGAGTGTGAAACTCTAATTGCACCCACCAGCTTGCAACCATACAGGCCCCACTCACAGAGAGGGAGAGTGAAACGTGTGTGTGTGTGTGTGTGTGTGTGTGTGTGTGTGTGTGTGTGTGTGTGTGTGTGTGCGTGTGTGTATATAATGAACATGTATGTCCTTCTTTGCATGTACTGATCTGACCCCGCATACATTTGTCCATATTACAACCAAGGCAAGTGTTCAGGCAGCCGTGAAGCAGGGGGGACAGCGCTCCCTCTGTGGTCCTCTAATGAGGCGCTCATAAGTCCCAAAATGAGATGAACATGCTTGTGACAAGGAGGTCCAGGCGATGTCAGTGTGCTGTGCTGCTGTGTGTGACTGGCCCACTGGGAAGAAACACCCAGACCGCAGTGACACTAATAGATAGGCATGGGCCTCCATCAGTCCCCAGAGATTTAGCTTCATCACAGCTGAGCAGCACTTCTATTCACAACGGCTGCCGGATGGTACACGTGTCGCCAGAACCCATTCAATCATTCAGACAATCAGCTGGAGTCACCTATGATGGTGTGTTATCTAACTGTGCCATTCTCAGTGAAAAACAAACAATTGCAGCGCTTTATAAAAGGATCATTACGGTAATGATAACACTGTACTTTAATGTTAGATTGCTGAGATCTGAGAACGTGGCAACACAATAAAAGGAAGTCAGACAGGGAAGAAACAAGAAGTCAGACAGGCTGTAAACAAGGTTGAACTGTAAAATGATGAACCAAACTGTCTGTTGTAAACGTCCATCACAGTTCACAGACCAACACGCGCTCAACTTTGACCTATCGTGGGTTACTGTATTGTACACACACAATGAGGGATCATTACCAACATTTCAGGTCAACTCACTTGCAGTTTTACCTCCAAATAAAGAGTCTAATCTGGCTAATCTGTTGGCTTGTTCACAAACAGTCCGATTGTCAGATCTAGATGCTGATGAAACTAATGATAAGGTTTCCATTATCGATCAAACTGTTGACTATTTTCTCAACTAATCGATTCACCGTTTTTGTCTATGAAATGTCAGAGAAAAGCAATAACAGCTCCCCCACTGTTTGATTCAGACCATGAGTCTAAAACCTAAATACATTCAGTTTACAATTATTTATGAGCATCAAATCACCACATTTGAGAGTCTAGAACCAGAATTGTTGGTATTTTTGCTTCAAAAATGACTAATTTTCTGTTAATCATCGGTTTCTTTAATCAATAATGGTATAAATCAGTGAAGCAATTACTTGATTATCAAAATAGTTGGCCATTACTTTTCTGTCAATCAACAGATCAACAAATCATTTCAGCTCTAGTCTGATCACTCATTTCTTGCCCTGTTTATTGTAGCAATACATAGAAATGATGGTCAAAACTGCAAACCTAAGACCCAAGTTGAAAATAATCTTCAAAATTGTGTTTTTTTCAATCCCATACAGTAAAGGCAGATGATTTTCTTCTTCTTAAATGTCTACTATACTACCTTCTATAGACTTTATATGTCTCCTATTCTGACTTCAACTACAGTTTGTTGGGATCATCATATTTGAATGCACGAAACAGACATTTCTGCTACATGAATGAGTGTCCTTGGTGAAATGAATCACGAAATGAAAGCCTCTCAGGTTCAGATCAGTTTCTCTAAGAAATGATGTCATCAACTTTACCACAAGTGACACAGAACAACTCTTTCTCTCTATGAGACACTTTGTCCGGCCCTGCGGTTGGCGGAGTTCACAATGCCAGACGGCCGTTGATCCACAGAAGGGAGCGTTGATGACTTCTCACAGAATAGTCTGCGTGTTTTTGCAGCCCACAGAGTAAAATTAGTGGCATTTTCCCTCCAACACCCAAGCTTTTCCCATAGCCCCCGCAGCAGAGCTGCCCGCCACTGGTTTTAGGTCAACAGTGTGACTGACTGGTGCTCTCACAATAACTCCGGCCAACGTGTGTCACGATAATCCCTTAGTTATGCAAATCTCCCCACCGTTTGCCGTTTGTGCTGAGGGTGAAAGTAAAGATGGCAGCACAATGTAGGTCACTATCTTGTCCCGATTTCTCCACATTGGTCAAATGATCCTGAAATGTCCTGTCAGTAGAGCTCCAGTAGCAGTGGAGTAGCGGCTCTCTGGGCTCAAGCAATATCCAGGCTTACAGTGGTGAAGATAAGACTGAAGAGACCAAAAGGCTTACAGACAGTAGGGGATGTGCATACATGCAGCGGTATCGAGCATTTTGCCGCCTGTTTTCTGAATTAATGCAAACCAGACATAAGGCAGGGATAGGGGGATATTGTTATCTTCTTAAACAGATTAACAATAGTCTGCCCTGAGTGAATAAACATTACTAGAAAGTGTGTCAGCCCTTTCAGAGAGAAGTAAGAACAACAGATTCAGATTCAGACAATAAAGCAGGGGTCATTAGCATTGTATTAATTTGGCTATCGGAGCAGGAGCAGCGAAAGTGTGCAGCTTGGACATGTGTGTGTTTGGGTGTGTGTACGAGTGAGAGTGTCTGGGGGATGAGCGGAGGACGATAGGGGAGCAGGGAGGGAGGGAGGGGGTGTTGTTGCGTGATGGTGAGTCCCCCCCCCCCTTGACTGAAGCTTTGACCAAGAGGATACAGAAGGAGCGGGGGGTGGTGGAGGGGGGAGTAAGCAGAGGATTTGGGTGGGAATGTGGGTTTTTTTTTTTTTTTTCAGTGAAGGAATTGTTTGGCTTGTAAAAAAAATGGCATGGGAAGTAATTGGTGAATGTCAGGGGGCTATCTTAATCAGATTGAATCTGATTGAGGGAAATTAGACTAAACAAACCGACTGGTCAGTCAAAACAAGACAGAGTTGTGATATGAATATGAAGGGAATTAAACATGTGGGGATAAAAAATCAGCTTAGGACATGAGGGATTTTGTGCAAGTGGACATCTAGTTCATCAACACAGGACCAAAAACAGCTGTCCAAATATAGGAAATCTATCTATCTGTACATTTGTACATCTATCTATCTATCTATCTATCTATACATCTATCTATCTATTTATACATCTATCTATCTATACATTTATACATCTATCTATATATATATATATCTATACATTTGTACATCTATCTATCTATCTATACATCTATCTATCTATTTATACATCTATCTATCTATACATTTATACATCTATCTATATATCTATCTTTCTATCTATACATCTATACTTACAGCGAGCAATGTGCACCATGAAGCAAAGGACAGATCACATGAGAGGTTCAGATAGGAGGACAAGTGACAATGATTTCTCTCAGCATCTTTAAAGCATCACTACTCTATGTGTCAAGCCTTGATTTGACAGTCGCGCTCCACACCTGCACCTGCTCTCTCTCTCTCTTTCTCTCTCTCTTTCTGATGACCAACATCTACAGGCTAACACGTCAATGTGTATTTTTAGACATTCAGCATTGGAAAAAAAAAACACAACAACCCCCGTGTCTTTGCGTCCATGAGGCAAAGCTGTAAAGAGGACAGTTGCTCTCACTGAGCAGCGTTACAGCATCCAACTCCATGTTCTACTCCTCTCTCTCTCTTTCTCTCTCTATCTCTCTTTCTCCACAAACTCCTGACAGAGAACTGGCAGCTACACGACACGTGTTTATTATGAATGGTATGATTTCGCTCACCTTATCTCTTCCCTCGGAGGTAAAACACGAAGCCCGTTCAGTATCTTCAGTCCCCCTGCGACGCAGCGATGCCGTCGGCTGTGTTTATTTACGTGGAGTCCCGTTGAGCGCAGAGCCTCTTGCACTTGTCTCCTCTGCTCCAGTCACTGGTCCTCTCTGCTCCCACCAGTTCAGCGACACACATACACACACGCATACACCGGCGGGGGCGCGCAGCATCACTCCGGGGCGTGCGCACGCCCATTGCACGCACTGCAGCGCCGCTGCCGATGTATGGTGGCCTCAAGGCACTGTACCTGTTATTCAAATAGACACGCTAATAGTACTTTAGTCCTCTGCAGGCTCAGACCCACAGATGGACAACAGCTGGACGAGTTTTAGGATAAAACAAGCCAAAAGTTGTCTTTTAATGCTCAGCCATGCCCTTTTCTGTTATTTAACAGCAGGGAGCAGCTTTTTTAATATAGTTGCAGTATTAGTATTGTTAAATGTAAGCATCATGGAAATGCTACAGGCAGAAATGATGTTTAACACTTCAGTAATTCCAAGGTTTAGAGGCTTAATAATAATGTATATTTTCATTAATCAGGCCTTCAAAATGAAAAAAGAGGAAATGAAAACAAAACTCAAATAAAACATCAAATCCACAGATTAGTCAAATATGAGTGCTTTCACCTTTCAGACAGTGAACTTCATTCTAGCTGCTCTGGACCTTAATTGCTTGGAGCCATTTGCATGTCCTGATACCATTTTGCCCTGAGAGCAGGATTGCACTAATAATCATACAGTAGCCTGTGGGGATCAAGACTCTGCTGGATGAGGTCATGTGACTTTAAAAGGGACATTTCCATCTGCTGCCAGCCAGCCAGCCAGCCATGCTCTCCACTCTCAGTGCATGTTACACACACATGCATTATCTCAGGCTTAGCTATTGTAGCCATCTGCAGCCATTGAATCACTGAGAGTGAGTGACGCAGTTATAAGCTTGGTTTGGCAAGAAGACAAGGTTTCTGGTTGGAGTTGCCATCCAAAGGCTGGTTGACTGAGATTAGCTCAAAATTAGGTTGTGGCACAGATCTGAAGATGAAAATGTGTGTATAGATACATAATCTTTTGGAAACAAGACAAAGTGCAGTAAGAAGCCCAGAGATATTAATGTTTATTTCCACCCCAACAGTCATTCAGTTCTCTTCACTTTTCAAATCTTCTTTAAGTATTTGAGGAGCCATTTCTGCGTTGCTTACCAGTATAATAAAATGTGACTGAAAACAGAAAAAGAGAGAGGTTGACATGCATCCAAGGTCATAATCCAGAGTCAAACGCGACAGTTTCTCTCATCATCAACTAAAGGGGACCAGGGGGATTTGCTCGCTATCTGCAAGTATATAGTGCCACACTGGGAAGTATTGTAATTGTCCTTGCCTCTCATTTCAGACCGCCTCAAGATATGTCTGCATACCTCTTGAATCTCATTAAAATGCTCTTAATTTCCCCCATGCATGTTAACCGTAAAATACTCTGAGGGATTTTCAAGGAATTTCAAGGATACGGCACCACAGAGACCAAGCAAAGCACTTGCAAAGTTGCAACATGAATCTTGTCAGGTCTTTGTGTGGAAATGCAAAAAGCCACCAGAAAAGATATCGTCTCTGCTTCACTGGTAACTCCAATTATCATGACTATTACTGCAGTGGATCCTTGAAGTCTTCTGCTCACTGAGATGCAAAACTTCCCACACAGCGGGTCTATTGTGAAGGAGAGACAGAGTCATCACTTGGCCTGTTTTCTTCACTGATTCAGTGTTATTTCATTCGATTCTTTTTAGAACAAACTTCATAACAGATGCAGCACAAGCAAGCCAACCATGAAATGACCTGGCTCCCAGCAGAGGTGATGATTAACTGACAGAGATTTAACACAGATCAGCAGGCTCATAGTCAGAATTTACAATAAAACACAGCAGCCTAAAACATTATCACAGCCGTATGTTCACATTTTCACATTTTTAAATGAGAAAAGTTTATGACTTTGTCAAAGACTGTAAGTTGCATTATTTATGATCTATTTTCAATCTGTCAGGATTTCTGTCTGTATCACTTGTTTTTCTGTCGCTTTTTTCCAAAGTGGCAATCATATTTTGGAATTAAACTCTTCATATCTTATCTCAATATCTGCCGCTTGCTCCAAAACTAATTAAGTGCTAATGAGCTGGGTGTATTTGGTGTAGCTAAATGTGATGGTGTAATTGAGGATCAGCCACCCCAAGGATAAACAGTTGTTACATAAAAAGCAAAGCTGGAAGAACACAGTACCTGTCAAAACCTGCTCGAGATCTGTTCCCGACATGGACTGGAGAGACGTATTTATATTCAGAGTCTGGAGGTTTGGCCAAAGGTGCAAAAGAAATCTAATTACTGATGTGATTACTGCTGGGGGACAAGTTCATGAGTCAGATCTGTTTACATCAGGGGAGGATACAGTTCCTCTCTCTGTCTGCTGTGTAATTACATTATGACTTTTCTATATTGAGTGGGAGCAGCCTTTACTGGCTGTCTAACCCTGTTAACACACAGGGGGCAAAAACATGACATGAATCCACTAAATACAGCACAGTGGCCAGACCTGGAGCACTTTGTTCCAGTAGGTAATATGTTGTATAACCATTATTCTTCGGAATCCCACAGAAAGTTTGTTTAAAATATAGGTCATGTTTTGTGCATTTGTCTAGTTTACACTTTTAACAAAAGCAATACCGCTTCTTAAGTTCTTCTTAATCAAATATTTGTGCCATCTCAAGAGTCACTCTTCAACTAATTTGAATCACTGTCAAACTGGATGAAATTAGATTAAGATTTTTCTGGTGTCAATTACAAGTTTGGCCACTGTTACCATAACTGTGTTTATATGACACCATTCACTCAGGGCAGCTCTCCATTTAACTCTGAAAATGTGTTTTTAATGGCCACATTTAACCATTCCTCACTTCTGTAATTTGTAACTGAAACTATTAGAATATAGAAACTATTGGACCAAATGATCTAGGAGAAAACATTTAAAGCCAATCTTATAGACACTGAAAATTAAAGTAATCAGCTTCAGCGGCTGAGTAAACAGAAATGTATAAGTTGCATAGTGTGCTTAGTGTTTAAGAACAGTCTATAGTATTAACTCAAAATTGGACTCCATGATCTTTGCACTCTCTCAAAGACTAAGATGCACTGGAAACTCGATGATTATTCGCAATGGGGTTCATATCTACGAGCAGGTCTTCTAATTTTAGCTGACACACTAGATACTTGCCTAGAGTGGAGGCTGCATAAGGTCATCAAAATGTTAGAAGGCGGTTTGGGTGCAATAAGCAGAGCAAAGGGATTTGTAAACGGTAAATTGCGTATCACTTTGTGCCATACCTTAAATCACTGTGGAACGGCCTGGCTTCCAGCTCTACGAGGTTTAGACTAGATTCAGAGAGCTAAAAAAAGATACACATCTCAGGTCAGTGAAGGATCACATAAAGATTTACAAACCTCCGCAAACAGCTAGTATCAACAGCACAGTGGGCTGAATTTAAGTATTTATATCGACATTGATCTTTTCATCATCCATGCATCACATTTCTGCCCTGATACCTGACAGAGCTGTTGTGAGCTTTGCCACCAGCCCCTAAAAGCCGCACAGGGTTAACAGAGAAAGAGGCTGGGCTCACATCTCCTGGGAATCCATTTAGCCAGGACTGCTGTGTTCAAAAGCAGTCCTTAGTATTATAGTCAACAGTATAGGCTACAGACTGTTTGATGCCAGGACTCCCTGTCAAGCATTTATACAGAATGAATCAGTAAAGTATACTGAATTGTGCTTATCCAAACCCAGTTGGGTACAGGTTCAGGCCAAAAAGTGGATAAAGAGAAGAAAATATGCATTGAGCTGCCATAGTGGTGACTTTATCCAAACATCTCTCTGTAGAAATATGTAATTTCTTATTTTAAACTTAGACAAAGAGGATTTTACTGAGGATGAAGAACAGAAGCATCTCTTGATAACTGTATGTTAGCCCACCATCTTGTGGGTGATGAATCTATACTGTACTGTATGTTTCCATGCTTTTGTAGGCTTACTCAGAACAAAATGTTCTCAAAGAACTTTACCTTGAAAAATAGTCTAAGATGAGATCAAGACTTTGGATCAGGCAGTGATAGTGTTATTCTCAGTTATCTGGTATTCCTGGCTATAAACTGAAATAGCTGAATCAGCCAGCTCAGATCTCACTGAGTGAACAATCAAACAAACATCTTCAGATAACAGGGTTCAGTGTATGATCATGAGGGTGCCACACAGTGGGAATTCAGTTTGAAATCTGTAAAGGCAGAGATAGCACTTTATCACATACTGTATTTAGATCTGCTCAATCATTTAATTTCTATTTGTTCTAAAAATATGAATCTCCTTCTTTTATTTTCTGTGTAAAAGCCAATTAAAACAACATATGAGATATGTGTACAATATATGTATCACTTCCCCCTTAGACTACTGTTGATGCATGTTTGTTGTGTCCTCTGCCTTCTGCAACCATCGCTGTGTTTTCATGCATGTAAGCAGTTGGTGGAAAGCTGTGTCAGTGCACAGTGTTTATGCTGGAGGGAAATGCGATCCATCAGTGGCCGGGGCTGTTACTCAGGTGCCTGAGCACAGCCTTGCACAGTCATCTCATCTCACCTTCCTCTCTTTTATGACAGGCAGCTCAGGGAAGGGCCTTCAAATTACCTTGCCCTGAAAAAAAAATACAGCACTACCTTTACACACTTACTTACAGAAAAAGCAACATACGTTTGAGTTGGAAGGAAAATATCCACTGGCAGTACTAGATGTGTCGGCATTTGTAATGTTAAGAATTAGAATGTGCAGCTAATCAAATGAAGGTGAGGGTGCATATCAGTCCAGATCTCTGTTGGAATAATGAAGCAGTTGCGAGTACAAGTTACCGACATAATATCCATCTGCACGTCCCCACTTTTCCGAGATGATCCACAGCAGCTTTCCTCAGATTACAATCACCTAATCTTCATATAATTAGGAGGCAAGAAGTAGTGACGTTCAGTGATGGGTTTTAATTACATACACTCTCAAACAGTCTTACACTGGACGAACAGGAGAACATTGGAATTATATTAATCTGAGTAATATCTGTGTCCAT